ATATATATATATATCTAAACCAATTTGGAAGTAAATTTGGAAGAGCACTTCCAAGCAAATAAATAGTTATACTGTTCACTCACAGCAAGAATCGGAAAACATTGGGATCAAGGCAGTTTTCAGCGTCTGATAAGAGCTATACAGCCCCACATCAATCTTCCTTGCTATTGGCACCCCTTCCATCTTCACCTTCACATATTTTGGGTTAAAAACAATTTCTTCATCTTCATCCTCTTCCATCCAATAGTGATTTGGTATCTGATCAGAACCAAAGCCATCCTGTTGCAGTTCATGAAGGTACTTTTTCCTCCATGATTTAATGGGCGGCCAACCCATAACTTTGTTCTCCTCTCCAGCATTTCTGCTATGAAAAATGGAACAAATCATCAATTTTAAGTTTGAAAATGAAATTCAGACCCATAATTGAAAATAAGAACTGAAATCTAACTTAAAAACAGAGAAATATATATTATCCAGTTTATGTAAATGGTTATATGAACATACTCAAGTAGTTAAATATCAGTGTCTATCCTCATGGGTCGATGTTCAAATTCTCTCCCTACATAATAATACTTCCTTTGAATGATGGAGTGGAGGATTAATCAGCATATTTATCTAACGAGCATAGATTAGAGCATAGATTGAAGTACTCTAAAAAAGGAAAAATCAGTTGAGCAAATGGAACTCACATGTGTAGAGCACAAGAGCTTCTCTGGTTGGTGTCCTTCCAGTCATCGTCTTCCTTGTTTGGGTGACCGCTCCACAGCAGCAAAGACAGCTCTTTAAACGAGTCTTTGCTCTTAAAGAAAGCATCTTCATATCCACGCTTGTGTCTACCATGGCTTGTACTTTCTGCACACAGGCAGCTCCTCGGATCTGAACCAAACACATCTTTTCCATCGCACGCAGCCCTGTTCAGGTCGAAACCTCTGGTGGGATCTGATACACAAAGCGCTAGCTCAAGTTGAAGCTCCATTAGGATCTTCTGTTTTCAAATAATTCAAAGGCAATGGGATGAGGGTAGTTAGCTAGCATTAGCAATGGATCGAATGGGTAGTTTTGTTAGCAACTTTGGACTATTTATACGTATATCAGCTAGGTTAAGAGAGTGAAGGAGACGACAACTAGGTAGAGAGAAAAAGAGAGACAACAATGGAAGTTGGGTCTGCTGAAAGAAGGGCAGTGATATGGACACCTTCGCAGAAAATAATACTAAATGGATGCAAGTTTGGTCTAGTAGTCATTTCTGTAGAAACATATCATAAATTAAGTAGGCCAAGCACCTAACTTCATTCAGCAAAGTTCTTGATGATCAATTTCCCATGCTTTACGCTTCAAAAAACCATTAAATTCTAAATCAAAACATTAAGTGATGTAATGGCCCAAGCACACCGCCAGTAGATATTGTCCGCTTTAGCCCGTTACGCATCACCATCAGCTTTACGGTTTTAAAACGCATTTGTTAAGGAGAGGCTTCCACACCCTTATAAGGAATGTTTCATTCCCCTGGCACACCGCCTAGTGTCTGGCTCTAATACCATTTGTAACCGTCCAAACACACCGCTAGCAAATATTAGCTATTTTAGCCCGTTACGTAGTGCTGTCGGCTTCGCAGTTTTAAAACACGTCTGTTAAGGAGAGGTTTCCACACCCTTACAAGGAATGTTTCGCTCCTCTCTCTCTCCAACCGACATGAGAACTCACAAGGGAATTCGATTTTCAGTATCTTCTGTAATATGATCTTTGATATATTGATACTCAGATATTCCATTGACAGAAGAGACTAATTAAGTAGTTTCCAAAGTAATCTCAACAAGGGGTGCGCGTGATATGCTTAAGCTATCGTCAACTTTTTGAAATCAAATCATGAAAGTGACGACTAACAGCAGATTGCATTAAAAAAACTAATCAGAACCAAAAGTTAAACATCTAAAACCTTCCATTTCTCAAGATGGGTCATTTTCTTAAGTAGGTTGGGATTAACACATAATCCCCCTGTCGCAATTAAGCGCTAAACAAGTCCAAATTGTCGGCAAAATGTTGTCAACATTAGTCATGATGCATGAGCTCTGATATTCAAACTTACATGATAATGGGGTACTAAAACATTCCCTTCATCAGTTCCTTCCACCTCAATAATTTTCGTACTTGAGTTCCTTTCTGTCTTGCTCAAATAAAATAGGAACGATTCCCTTTGTCGGAGTATACTTGTACACATAATAGAAGAAAGAGAGAAAAAGGGGCAAAGATTTGTCTTAGACATTTTAACAAACACCATGCATACGTTTGGTATATGTTCAGAGTTCCTTACCTCGCAGCTGGGTCCAAGCAAAAAGCGTAGGCCATCACGGCAAGAACTTGTCTAGAAACGAGCGGGCAGCTGCAATTGAAGCCCACGTGACCTCGAAAATTAGGGCATTGAAATTACTCATCTCGGCAGCAAGCGGCCATGGGAGGTACCGAAGCGATTGAATTGGTCGTGTCAATGTCGAAGCCTGCATGGATGAACTCTTGTAAAAAGGAGGTTACTGACACGAAAAGCTGGCATTTGCAGGGGAAGCATATTGTACAGCTCAATTGCAAATCCGCCATTGATTTTCTTACACATTTTGGAAGCCCTAAAAGAAAAGAATATATGTTATCCCGATTTCTTCAAATATTCCGAAGAGATCACATGAACATCGATTTCTTTTTTTCCTTTTCCTTTTCTGATCAATCCAATCAAGGAGAAATTTGATTAGGTCAGATCGGATTTGATGATCAAGACGATTTTCTTACCGTCAACAATGATTTTGAATGATTCCATAATCCTAAAATGAACTTATCTCGACCTCTAAACTCGTTAGCACAGGATTCTAAGTTTCATGTCTGCTATTTGCACCATCGACGATGAATTATATCTCATGCATACTCGATAGATATTTGACATCATATTTCGAAAAAGATTCGAACCTACGAGCTCTTTAGTATGAGATTTTAAGTCTCATATCTACTATTTCATCATCAATTATATATCGATGATGAATCATATTTCATGAATGTGATATCTATGAATTATTTTTTAAATACTCGATGGATATTTAGGAGGCATTCTCAACATCGGGTCTCGAGGAAGACTCAAACCTCCGGGCTTCTTAGTACAAAATTATAATTTTCGTGTCTACTATTTCACCATCTATCATATTTTGAACGTGAATTATATTTCATATTTACGATATTTATCGTTGACAAGAGATAAGGTTAGAGCCCTAACTATATAGGATAGGAATAAATAGGCTTACGTGTCCAATTTTCATTTTCAATTTCATCATTGAATTTTGCGATTTACTTTCTTTACTCCAATGATTCAAATCTTTACTTTCATTGCAATGGATGTGGGTAAATTTTTTTTACCGTGGTAAAATTAAAATGTTTACATAAGATGAAAATAGAGAATAAAATATAATTTTTTTTTTCTCTCTCTCTCATTTCGAAGACATCATGATGTGAAAGTTTAAATTATGACACGTGGATACAAACTATAATGAAAAAAAAAAAAAAAAAAAAAAGATAATGGTACAAAGGACCCACAATTAATTAAATGGAGAGTGAAGGGCATAAAAGCAAATATGGTATAAAAATAAAACATCCATGTTCATATAATTTCTTACCCAAAAAGACCCTCAAATCTTGACCAATACCTGTTCAAACCTTTGGGATTACATACGTTTGCGTGAAGTAATTGCTTTATATGTGTCTATGATGATGTGAAATGTCCCATACATGTAGTAGAGTGCTTGGGGGGCATGTTTGGAACACTCATGTACATCTTATGGGACCCACTTTTCTTATCGAGATCTCAAACTATCCAACCAATCTTTTCTCCTTCCATGCTTCTCTATTTCTCGATCAGCTTCAAAGACGGTAAAGGAGCTTGAGGTTGAGTCTGACAGTTCACTCTCAGAGAATGGGCACGACTCCCCCTCTCCCCGTTTGACCTTCTTGCTTTTGTACAGTATACTCAGCCAAAATATGACACCCGAAGGGCCCGGCGCGCACAATAAACCTAAAATAGTGTTGAGGGGTCCGAAAGAAAGTCATAGATTCCAGCCAATTGAGATTGAGCCTTCTTTCTAATGGAGAAGGGCTTCAGTGGACTTAGAGAAAGCTAGCTCGACCTGTAAGCCTTCGTGAAATACCTGGACATCCAATCATCGATAAGACTAATAAACATGCCTCTTGTTCAAATCGTCTCCTTCATTTTATGCTGACTCCGACCCTAAATCTTTACGGTCGAGCATCCTTTTCCACACGATTTGTTCGAAGAATTTATCAAATCGTTTCAACGTGATAAACGGTTTTACATCAGAATTATTATTTTTCAAAAGTTTAGGAACGAAAATAATTATTTTAAAATAGATTATATTTATTGATTTTTTATTTTAAATTGTACAATACTTAATATTTTATATAATTATAATATAGATATTTATGGTTTATAATTTTTTTTAATTTTAATATATACGTTACACTTTCATTAAAAATATAATGTTTAGTATTTTAAAATGTTGGCTATATTAATATAAATAAATAAATAATTTTGGTAATTAAAAATAAATAAATAAATAAATAAATAAATAAATATATATATATATATATATATATACACAATATGGGCCTTGTCTTTGTCACGAGCAGAATTACCTCATCATATTAGCCCAAGTTTAGGTATGTGAGCCGAACCAAAAATAGTTTTAATTTTTTTATTTTTTATTTTTAACAATTTAATTGCACGTATTTATTTATGTATTTTTCTACACTCACGCATTTTAATAAAATAATTTTATTTCTTCTTAGACCCAATTTTTTTTTTAATTTGTTAAAAATTATTTTTTAGTTTTATATTTATTATAACAGATTTGTAAAATTAAAAAAATTTAAAAGCTAGAAAGGGTAAATTGGTAATTTAACATATATGAAAAAATAAAAAATGAAAAATTTGACTAAAAGAATTCGCCAACAAAGAAGGCCACGGCAACGATGGGTAAATTTACAACGAAGAACATTCAACGAGAGAGCGAGTCAACTCACTGACCGCGTTCGGCAACTCAACGAGTCAAAACTCGGTTATTTCTGTTTTTGATTGGTTTCCCACAACCTCGCGACTACCAAGCGGTTTTCGCGCTCCATATCGCTTCGTTCTTCAGCCAAATCCCAAATCCCAAATCCCAATCCATTTCTCTGCCTCACAGAGAAGGCTAGCTCTAAGATGTCATTGAAGGCGTCCAATTCCGAGAAGAACTTGATGTTGCCGGTGTCGGATCCTCCACACGGCAGTGAGGAGAAAGAGCGATTGATCAGAGGCGATGAGAAGCTCTTCAGAGGATCCGCCATGACCAAACGAGGAGCCTATGCTGCTCTCTCTTACATGGCTTGCGCAGGTACGCGTAATCGCATCTGAATATGATGTTTGATTCGTTTGGCTTTCCAATTGCTGTCCAGATCTATCTGCCGAGTGTTCGCTTTTTTGCGCATATTACTTTCTGAGAAGTAGGTTTTCTGATGAGGTTGTTTTTCCACTCGTGTTACTGTTTCTGAAGAATTTGGTGCGATTTGTGTTTATGTCGATTAATTGTTTCAGCTTTTATAATTTACTCTGTTTCCAGTTGCTTGTTGTATGTTTTTTATTTTATTTTATTTTATTTTGCCGTTCTGTTTACCGATTATGATCTACTGAAGAGCTAATGTTGAAGAATAAGTTAGTTTTACTGTTCAGCTTTCTGCACAGTTGATGGTGTTCATTAGTCTGTTTGATCGGTGTCTGGGAGGCCGGCCAACTTGATGATGTCTATTCCTGTTCAATTTTGTCTAACCGGAGGTTTCTTATCTATTATGCAGTGCTATTGATTTTGTTCAACAAAGCAGCGCTTTCTTCTTATAATTTTCCAAGTGCAAACGTTGTTACACTTGTTCAGGTAAATGTCTACTTGGTTATCTCTTTGAAATTTGAACAAATCTCGGTAGTGAAATAATTGGATTTGAAACGTCGATGTGGTTTTTGAAGAGAACAATATACTCAATCGTCGTCATCTTATAGTTATGGACTTCTTCAGTGGAGAGCATTGTCTGTAAATTGCAGTACTAGTATACTGTTTTTTTTTCTTGTTTGTATGGAATATTTTAGGTATGATAGTGAAACTACAACTACTACGTCTGTGTGCTTCCTTAATGTTTTCCTTTACATCACGTTGCTATTTTTTTGTATTGATTGTCATCGTTTTAATGCCATGATCTTTAAATGTTCCTTCGTCAATTATGGCATGGTTTTGTTCACAAGTCTTGTGTTTCTTTTATTGTTTTTTCCAACAGTAACTGATTGTTGAGACACTGTTTGTTGATAAGACACATTTTCCCTTATTTTTGATGCAGATGGTATGCTCATGTTGTTTTCTATATGCATTGAGACGTTGGAAAGTCATATCTTTTACAGTGGTTGATTCATTTTCTGATAATGCTGCTTCAATGGTTCCAATGAAGACATTGAGGCAAACCAGTCCTCTTGCTGGGACGTACTTGCTTTACATGGTAAATTTTAATTATTTTATGAGAATTTGTAGATGCTTTATCTCTTCATACATTATTGATGTGTATGAACTCCAATATTTCTTCCTGAAAGCTAGCTACTATGGAGTCTGTTCGTGGAGTAAATGTTCCCATGTACACTACCCTCAGGCGAACCACAGTTGTTTTCACAATGGTTGTAGAGTATCTTCTGGCAGGACAAAAGTATACATATTCAGTTATTGGAAGGTAAGATCTGCAGCTGCCACATGCAACCATGTGCTTTTTCTTCAACTTCATAATCCGCCCTTCTTTTGCAAATTCATATACTCTAGGTCGATCTCCTAGTGAAGATTGTCTAACATCTGTAGGGGCGCGGTTGTCTGTTCTCCCTTAATTTTGGTTCCTGTGCTCTTGCCTGCTTTATTTTGTGTGAGGATTTTGGGTTCTTGAAATAGAGAAATAGGTGATTTCATCAGAATGTTTATGCCATCACTCTCCATTAGCTGTTAGTTGTCATCGACATCGCGTCTAGAGCCTAGCATTGCACTATCAAAGCCTCTAGTCCTCTCTTTTCTTCTTCATTACAGTCCTTTTGATTTGTTTCATTAGCTCGGATATTTCATTTTGATGGAAATGGTTCTGATTTAATACTTAAACTGAAAATTTAAAGGTTGTTATCAGTGTTGGTTTGATAGTTCTTGGTGCATTTATTGCTGGAGCTCGCGACTTGTCCTTTGACGTATATGGCTATTCTATTGTTTTCTTGTCGAACATCACCACAGCAATCTACCTTGCAACTATTTCCCGCATTGGTAGTTTGACTTCTTTTCTTTTCTATTCTCTTTTGTCTTTCTCTCTTTATTTCTTTTGGATATTTGGATGGAGTTACTTCTTTGTACGTGTTACTGAATACTTTTTCTATAATTCCTTATGTTAGGAAAATCAAGTGGTCTTAATAGCTTTGGCCTCATGTGGTGCAATGGTGAGCTAACTGATTCATAGTAAAACTAGAAATTTGGCGTTGCCCATTTTCCCCCCGACACAATTAGGTAATTGTATGTTTCCTACTCCTGCCATCTTATTCCTTTGCGAATCCATTGTAGGAATATTATGCGCTCCAGCTCTACTTTTCTGGACATTTATACGGGGCGACTTGGAGGCAACTATTAGCTTTCCTCATCTTTTTTCACCTGGATTTCTAGTAAGTTTTGTTTACTGTACAGAGCTCTTTATTGGGTCTATAAATGCGCACACACATTTTTCTTAATGTAAAAACTAGTTTGCCTCTCGTGGTCAAGCATATGGACCTTTTATAGTCCAATACATTTACTGTTTAATCATATTTTGATGGATTGATTTAAAAGTGTGTGATGTGTGTGGTATCACTGTCTCTTTAACCCCCCCTGCACTTCTCAAATCTTTATATTTTATAAATGGGTTGTCTCTGAAACTTCACCATGCTTTGGGAAATTTCCAATTTTCCATGACCTGTGCGCCCTTTCTTTCATCAGATGGTGATGCTTGGTTCATGCACACTGGCTTTCTTCTTGAACTATAGTATATTTCTAAACACCACTCTAAATTCAGCAGTGACACAAACTATATGCGGTAATCTGAAGGTACTTCCACAGTTTATTATTTCTCTAGCACATTTAATTCATAGATAGATTTCCTCTTACGTTAATGACCAAATACTTCTTCCAATAATCTTCTATTTCTGTTGACCTTGTTACTTCATATTGTAGGATTTCTTTACCATTGGACTTGGGTGGATGATATTTGGCGGCCTTCCTTTTGACCTGGTTAGTAAAATACCCATTCATTCCAATTTGATCGCAAACATTCCCGACCCATCGTCCTTCTATTTGCTCTGTCTGAAATCTATAGTTTGTTGTGTTTGCAGCTAAATGTTATTGGGCAACTTCTGGGTTTTGTTGGCTCTGGTTTGTATGCCTATTATAAGCTCATAGGGAAATAAACCCTCTAAATGGTCAGCCCAATAATACGAGAGGTTAGCTGATTTCTTTTTTTGTGGGAGGGTTTTGTTCTCTGAGCAGGTGCTGATCCAATTTTCTCTTTTTAGGCACTAGCATTTATCTTTTTGTTTGATTCATTTTTGTTCTGATTGACTTCCATGGTAACCCAATTTTTAGGGTGAAAAACGTCCTAATTCCCTGAACAGTACTTGAGCCCATTCTTATTGGTGCAATTCTACAAGACCCTCTTTTTTATATGTTATATATGTAGATTGCTAATCATCATGGTGTTCACTTCTTTTATTTATCTATTTATTTTCCGGAATTCGGCAGCGATACTTGACATCTTAGTCGGGAGGATATATTTTATGTCAATTGAGCTATATTCAAGTTATATTTTAAATAAGAAAATTTAGTCTGTTTTATAATGGTCTTTCCGAGTTTTGCATTGTATTTTATGTCAATTTTATGGTACTTTTCATTTGAATACTTGTTGTTTCAAGTTTATTAGTGTTATCAATCTCTTCCTTCTTTAGAATTTTATTACAAATATGGTGGGAACTTTGAATCTACAACTCGAGCTGATAGTCAAGGTCACATCATTTTTCTAATTAATCCTACTTTATTTTATTTTTATGATAAAATACATTGTTCATCTTTAGAAAATTTTTAGGAAGAATTTTAAATTTTGTATCAATTTTTATTATAAACTTTTAATTTCATCTAGTTAAACTTTAGATTTAGGAAATTTTACATATTTATTTATAATCAATTAAAAGTTTGCTAATACACTCATTAAGAATTTTTTTTCTCTATAAACTCATTAATTTCTATAGAATCTAAGATTTTGTATAAATAAACTTTTAAAATTTATAAAATAATTTTTTAAGCATTTTAAATCACGTGTGCATATTTTATATCATTAAGATATTATTATATATAATTTTTACATAATGTTTATCTTATAATTAATAAAGTAAGCGTAAACCTTTTTTGTTTTTCCTTTAGATTTCCATATGAAGTAAAACTAAGCGACTCTTATCCCACAACTTTCCTCTTGCAACATATAATCGAAATGCATAAAACGACATCGTTTTCAGACCGGCAGTTGAAGGCGCCTGAAACCGTTAGCGCCACGTCACCCAGTGGTAACTGTCGTCTTCTCCGAGACCGTACTGAAAACATGAAGAAAAAGAAAAAAGAAAAAAGAAATGGAAGTTAAGTTCAGGAATTGCCTCCGACACAAGCTCCGAATGCGACTCTTTCTTCCAAAAAGCTAAACCTTAAAACTCTCCTCCTTCACCTCTCTCCATCATCACTATGCGTGTTTTCCTTACCTTAGCATCTCCCTTTTTCCCTCCGTCTATTAAGCCCCCCATTTCATCCCCTTTCCGATCGTCTCACCTTTCATTTCCATGGAAGTCTGACGGATTTTGCAAACTCTGACGCTTCCGACTTTCCGCCGCCCATGACGACGGTCGAGAAGAATCGGAGATCGCCCTCGCTGCTTTCGTCTCCTTTGATGATTGTTGGTCTCTCGAAGAAGAATGTTTTGTATCGCCAGCTTCCACATCAGCCTCTCATGCTCTCCGTCCTTAAATTGGATGGCTCTTGTTTCGGTAATCTCTGTTTCTGTGCTGTGGAATATTTTGTGTGCTGATGCATTTTTTGCTCTGGATTAATCGATTCGTTTGGGGGAAATTGCGGCTTGTGAGTTTGTTTTATGTCTGTTTAAGAGCAGAGGAATCTCTGGTTTTGGTTGTTCTGGTGTTTAGGAGGATTATGTAGTTTATTTATACGTTGTGCTTTTCTGATTTTGAGGATTTTGAAGGATTTTATGTTGTTTTTGGTTGTTTTATCTAGATATTGGAGGATTTTTTTTTTTTTTTTTTCATGGATTGATGGTTTGAGGTATCTTCATTTTCTTGAAATGTTATCATTTGACCATCAAAGTGAAAAAAGAGAGGAAAAACTGATGTCCTAAATTTGAAGAGTCTTCGCTGCACTCTCTTTAAATATAGCAGGCCTTCAATGAATTGAGATGTTTGACACAGATATTCAAGTTAAGAGATCAGCCACTGTTGCTGAATTAAAGGGGGCAGTGGAGTCGGTCTTCAGTCACATGCCACAGAATGGACCAGGAAAGATTTCATGGTTGGTTCATTTAACTATTTGACCATTTCATTGTAATAATGAGATTACCCTTATCTTCGGTCAGATCCTATCACGAAATTCCAGTTCCATGGGCTTCTTTTCCAAAGCCGGGCCAAAACTAAGGACAATATTTTGATGACATGTAGACGATTTTAAAGTGATGCTTCATAGAACTACTTATCAGCTCTAAATTTTTGACGTAACAAGAAATTTTTAATTGGGATATCTTTTCACTGTGACACAAAAGTTCATAGAAGGGTTCTTCTCAATTTAACCATTTTCTGTTCTTGTTTGATTCGTGGAGGCTCCATGTGTGGTGGTATTTCTGCTTATGCTATGCTGGTCAGAAGTTAGTTGATGATACAGACTACATTGCAAATTTTGGCATCAAGGATGGTGATCAGGTATGTAGTTAGTTTATAGCTGTAGTTTATGTTGTCTTTTGTGCTCGATGATTTCAATTTCCTTTAATGTCGGATCATTAGTTGTACCAACATGACATAAATCAGAGCGTGTGATTAGTGTTTGTCCTTGAAATTTTTATTGCCATATCCTTGCCCTTTCTTCACTAGCTTCACGAATCTTTCTAGCAATAACGTTTTGTGGACAGAAGCTGAATAGGCTTAACTGTTACCCCCTCAAATTTAAGACTTGGAAAGGAATTCAAATTTGTTTGATTGCCGTTCACTTAAGTCATGAATTGTTGAATTTTTAGTGTGTTTGGACTATTTGAGTTTCATTCTAAATCTAGTTAATCGTGTAATTTGTGCAGACAGAAAAGTAATAACTGATCTTTTCCTTACCCTTTTACTTCCCTCCTCACCCACTGACTCACACTCGAGAATTTCCTTCAAGATAGACTCCTTTCTGCCTTCTGGAATCAAACCAGAAAAAGAGCTAAGAATCGGATTCATTGAATTGAATTGGTTCAATAAGTTACTTGTAAGGTTCAATAGAAGCAATGTGGATATCATAGTATTGGTAACATAAAAATCACGTTGGACGGGCTATTTTAGTTCAAAAATTTAGGTTCTATTCGAACAACAATATAAATTTCTTTAAACGAGTAACTGATCCCTTTCTTACGCTTGATATTGATGCATTACCTGTGAATCTAGTAACTGTCAGGATTGTGCTTCCAGGATGCTAATGAAATATGAAAAGGAAGAGAGTAAAATTACACAACTTAATGCTTCTGTTCATTGAATTTCCTTGTTTTAACATGTTCAGCTTCAATTCGTCCGGCATGTCACAACTGGCTACAATGTTATGAGAAAGCAATCAAAGAAATGGGTGGTTTCCTCAAAACTGCTCAGTCGGTAAGGCTCTTACCTCCTTATATACACATTTGTTGAAGGAATGAAATTATCAGCGTTGCTCATTCTATTCTTAGAGATCTAATTTTGGAATTCAAATACCTAGGATTTAGCTACCTTGCAACAACGTGATATTAGATTATTCTATTTAGCTACCTTGCAACAACATGGTATTAAATCATTCTATTCTGGGAGGTCTAATTGATCGACTTAGCTTTCATAGCTATCGATCGTCCAGCCACCATAGCTACCCATCTTCCAGCCATAACGGATACCAATATTCCACCTTGACCGAAAAGTAATAATATCTGACAAGGGATTTAGTTGATTTATTTTTATGTATTGTTATCGATCTAACATATGCATTACCATTGTTACGTAATACTTTTGTTACTATTTTATTTTTTTGTTATCTAATATCTAGTATTGTTACCTAATATGGAGGATTGTTGGGGGATTTAGTTAGATTTATTTATTTGTTACCTAATATCAACTTTACTACCGGTTTTACAATGGTTACCTAATACGTATATTGTTACCATTTTTATCTAATATCCTAATATCTAGGATTGTTACCTAATATGGGAGACTGTTAGGTGATTTAGTTAGATTTATTTTTATGTATTGTTACCTAATATCTGTATTATCATTGTTACCTCATCCGGAATTGTTACCATTGTTACCTAATATCCTAATATCTAGGATTGTTAAGAGATTTAGTTACATTTATTTTTATGTGTTGTTACCTCCTAATATATGTATTGTTAGCTCCTACTATACGCATTACCTCCTAATACATATATTGTTGCCACTTAATATATGTATTGTTACTTAATATTTGTATTGTTACCTAATATGTGTATTGGTCTCCTCCTAATATCTGTATTGTTATTAGTATTAAGGATTTAGTTAGATTTTTTTTTAATGTATTCTTAACGGAGATTTTAGAGAGATTTAGTTAGATTTATTTGTCTTTTCTATTTTCTTTCTTATCAAAGATTTTAGAAGAAAGGTGAGGAAGATAATTTGCATTTGACAATGCAGTTGCCAGGTGAGCAAGTTTAGAATATCTCAAATATCAGTTGTAAGTATTGATCCTTAAAGGGTAAGAACATTACATACGCAAATATAGTCAGGACTTGGGCATTGAAGATGAAAGTGATAGAATATGCTGTTAGAAAATGTGGGTATTTTATTGGACTAAGAGAGCAAAGCATCTATAAGATCTCCATTCCTTTAAGGCTTTATTCATCTAAGTAACGTATTTTTACCTGACTATCTCTCCACCGATCCCCCTGTGTTTCCAATTGCCATTCTGTTATGCTCACTATAGAGTTCTAAACTCTCAGGATATCATCTCGGTCAAAAAGCTACAAGCAAAATAATAAGGAAGATATGGAAAGAAGATACTACAACGATGTAGAGAGTGGAAGGATTCAACATCATGGCAACAATGAGCCAAAGGTGGTACTCTTTTTGGGAGGGTGGTTCTCTCACACCAAGCAGGCATCTACAGGAAAGAGGAGCATCAATAGCCTGGCTCGTCCATCAGGTTCTCGGCCTAGCCTGGTGCGTGGTTTTAAGAATTTAATACAATTATGCCGTGAGAAACGACATTATGAGAAAGTGAATAAAAATAAGAGATCCATGAATAGGAGTCTGAGTAGAAGATTAGAAATGACTGATACACACACAAGACAACTAGATTGAGTTAGTCTAAACAAACAACTCTGATGGGTCCTTCGTTCATATCCTTGATAATAAGGTAGGTACCATAGGAATACCATACCAGAATTGATTCATAGTGGTGATGGATACCAAAAT